CCCAGCTTTTAGTAGGTACCAGGTGCAGTCCTGGGAAGCAAAGGCGGATGGGGTGATGCTGAAAACATCCCTCACTAAGTGCCGATTGGTCTATAAAAATACAGGTCTAGCCCTATATTCCCAACATGCCTAAAGGCCTGGAAAAAGGACTTTTACTTTACTTACTTTACAAATTTCAGACATTCTATAACCCCATATGCCAACTATTCCATGTCAGCTATCAGATACCAATGATAGAATGTCAAAAGCTATATGCCAACAATCCTATATCAAATGTCACATATCAAATATCAAATTAAACATTTGATATCACATATCAAATACTACATGTCAGTTGCCTCATGCCAAATATCACATACCAGCAATCATCATCATGTAGCAGGTCCTGTGCAGAACGTTGCTCCCATCACAGCGGTCTCTCGCCAGTACCAGCAATACCATGTCAAATATTAAATATCAAAATGCCATCTATTTCATGTAAAATCATACATACCAATTATTCCACTTCAAATATCCCACACCAACTATTTTGTGTCATGTTGAATGTTGAATTAAGAATCAACATCACTCAAGACACTCCCATAAGCGCTCCATCACCATCTTCAGCAGCAAGCGAAGAGTTCCAATGCCTATGGCACCAGTAACTGTCTGATTGTACATTTCTCTCGCCTCTCCCTTGAGTGTCGAGCGTCAGCCTGATCCCCTGGTAACTCCCCGCAGCACCAATCTCCTCAGACTGCAATGATCCATTGGTGCCTCTGCACTGTTCATGCGCTTCTAAAGGGCCATCACAACATCTAAAGCCCATGTCAAATACTACATACACCAATTATCCCATAAAGATCTAGTGAGAAATGACATGATCACAAGAACTATCGATACAACACCCATCATCAAATTTATTGAGAAACAAAGAATGAAACTGTTTTGCCATCTAATGAGAACGAAACCATTTATGCCAGCAGCATGAGCATACAACCTGAAAATCAAAACACAAGAAGACCCAGAAGAATATGGATTAAAGTCAATGGCACCTTGAGACTGCATAACATCACGACATATCAAGCACCTGAGGGAACCCTGGCTCGGCTGCCAATCATCTGATGAACTGTGACGCTAGTGGCATAAGCAAATATTGACAAAAGAAAAAGAAACATCATTCCATGTAAAATATTACAAACCAACTATTTTGTCTCAAATATCACATAGTAATTATCCCATGTCAGATATCACATAGTAATTATCTCATGTCAAATATCACATAGTAATTATCCCATGTCAAATATCACATAGTTATTATCCCATGTCAAATACCACATTCGCTAATTATCCCAGGTCAAACATCACATGTTATGTTATGTTATCACAATCGACGTCACTGGGTATTGGGCATTCCCATGTGTGCTCAGTCCCCCGATGCAGCAGCCACTCCAAAGTACTTCTACTAATTGTTCCCATGAGAAGCTGGTTATATTGTCTCCTATCTCAGCCTCGAAGATGCCATAGATGTGCTTCACCATGCTTTACTCCCATGTTATGCAATCGTGTCAGTGTCTGGGATTCCTCATTATCCACTAGCCCAGTCCAAACAGCATTGATGATATCTGCTCTGTCCATGCTTTTTCCCACATGCCTTAGTGCAGTGCTTGCCAGTCGGTCCTCTCGCTCATTTCCCTTTTTGCCAGCATGACCAGGTGTGTAGATCCAGGTGAGGGGGGTTAAGTGTGATTTTCGAATGCTTTCTACCTATTCAGAGCGGATACCACCTGTTGCTATCTTCTGAAGCACGTTCATGGAATCTGATACAATTACTGCCTGTGTGGTGATTTGCTGGGATACCCATGCTTGTGCTCTAGAAGCAGCGGCTATTTCCATGGTCATGCTTGACGTGGTTGTCTGGTAAGCGCCGCTGTCCTCCTGTATTGTTTTCCCATACACCTTCTATCCCACATTAACTATCCCACGTTAAGTACCACAAACCAACTATTCCATGTCAGATATTATATGTCAATTACACCATGTCAAAAATCAAATGTTACATATAACATGTCCACAATTCCATGTCAGATATTATTTGTCAACTATACCATGTAAAATATCATATGACAATATTAATATTAAAAGTCAAAATTATGTCTTCCCATAGATAACAATCAGTCCAATAACAAATTCACAACTATGCAACAGATATGCATTCAGTAAAAATGAATCAGCTTTTTTAACTCTTTCAGTCCCAAGGAACACATCAAACATTTATAGGCTCCTACCTATGAGCCCAATGATCACAAGATGTGCCTCTTTGGCCTCTGATGCTAAACCCTTGGGACTGAAAGAGTTGAAGCAAAAGTTAAAAAAATATTACCATAATAAACATCAACGTTTCATCCTAACCATAACTCAGAAAGTATGAATAGGATACAATTTTGTATCCTATTCATACTTTCTGAGTTATGATTAGGATGAAACGTTGATGTTTATTATGGTAATAATTTACATTTTTTTTATATTTTAATAATTACAAAATAAATTTTTTTTTAATCATCACTGATAATACACGATTTACACTGTCTTCTTCTTCTTCTTCTTCTTCTTCTTCTTCTTCTTCTTCTTCTTCAGCATTCCAAGCCCTTAAGGTTTATTACTGAAGATATAATCTGCCTCAGTTCATCTCCATGGCTGGCCTTCTCTTTCCAGCTGGTGACTCCAAGTGTGTGTAGGTCTTTCTGAATTTTATCTCTACACAATCTTCTTGGTCTACTTCATTGTTTACCACTATTCAACTCTTGTGTACAAAAAAAAATTATGCAAATTATACACCATGGTGTTTTGATAACCCAAGTATGAAATAGTAACAGTGTACATTGGAAATGTAATAGACATTGTATATCCCAGTTATAACTCTGTAGGCTGGAAAGGATATTTTTCTCACAGACCATGCCCTTTGGTGTTGATAGTCAGATAATTTTCTCTTCTGTCTCATGTAATTTCAGTAATTTCTGACACAGATGATCCTCCATGCCATGATGGCAAACAAACTGGCCAGCATCTTATATCTTGGTCTGCTCCACCTCTCTTCCCCTCCAGCTTTCACGGTGTGATGAGGTATTCCAGTTTTTCCATCCTCATGACATGACCAAAGAATGTGTACTGTCACCTTCTGATGTGGGTAATCAGTTTTTTTCTGAAATGATTGTTTCAAAACATCTTTCTAATCTATTCATGTTGTGTTCATCATTTCTCTATAAAACCAGATATCTGCACTCTATTTCACTTTTCACTAACCGTGTCCATGATTTACTTCTGTATATCAGAACTGGCTCTATACAGCTCTTAAACTAGATTTCAGGAAAATAAAAACATGTATAAAATCTGAATTACTAAATGTATCTAAAAACTAATTAGTTTGTATCCTTTAAAGGATGTTGCAGAACTAACCCCTAGCATTTTGTGGCTGTTGTGTGCGTTTTTCTAGGCAACTATTATGTTCAGTAGTTTGCCATTGTTCACTGAGTGGTCAGCTCTCGATACCATTACAAAACTAACGCAAAGCGAAAAATCGCCTGAAGCTGGGATTAAACATGGCACCCCAGCATTACGAAGCACGTTCACAATGCCTTAAACCACAAATGCTGATTTCGAAATGTATTGAGACCAATAACTACTAACTGATTTCTACCAGTTTAAATTCACTTATCTTCTTCTTCTTCTCTCGTTCGCCTGAAAAATGTTGTCTATATCAGCAATTTTGTCTCTTGTATAAATTTCATAGTCCTTATTTATCTATATCCATATACACACACCTTAGGCTTGAATGTTGAATTAAGAATCAACATCAAAGCACTCTGGACACTCCCATTAGTGATCCATCCCCATCTTCAGCAGCAAGTGAAGAGTTCTAATTCTAATGGCACCAGTAGCCGTCTGATTGTACATCTGTCTCATCCTTCTCCTAATACTTGCCAACTATGAAACGAAATATTTTCTTCATAAGATTAACAAACTGTTCATTTAGGCTGCCCAGTGGTGTAGATGCTGCAAGAGTTTCAATTTCACTTTGTGAAAGCACAAGACGTGGCAGACTTCGAACAGCCTGTGGCAGATCTCTAAACCTCCAGGCTGTCAGGAGCAACTAACACCACATGAGTGGCACCCACATTATGCAGACAATTACTGATGCTTGTATCGATTATTGTTTTATACAAACTTGATATGGAATTTTCACTCTCATGTCGATAGCCAGATGTAACTCCGTCAGAAGTACATTCATCATTACTTTCTTCATTCACAGCTGCACTTTCTGCCAACAGAGTGTGCAGTCCCTAGATATACTGAGAGAAGCCATGTCTGATTCAAGAGATGAAAAACTCAAACACGGAGATGTCAAAATAAATATGGCTACTGAGGCATTACTCAAGATTTGCAACGGCTCTGCCAAACAAAGAGTTCCAGGTAAAAATTCTTTGTGTAGAAAAACTGTGTTGAGGTCAAATGTTTGTTGCAGTGCTAGTTTTAGATTCTCTGAGATAATGTTAGACATTTCCCATTTTGGTTCAAAATCATCATCAATATCCTCAGCAATAACAATTTCATATTTCTTGCGGGTACCAGCAGTTTGGAACTTATCAGTAAACAACTGTTTCCATATTGGATCAGGATGGTAAACTTCACTACCCACTTGTAAAAATTCTTCATCCAGTTTGCCTTCAGCCACTTCTAGCATCAGCTGTTTATAAACGTCACTTTTCGGCATCTTAGCTTTTACTGCTGGTCGAAGATTTATTAGGTCTCTAAACAACAAAGCACTGTCAAATGCCCTCATTTTTAAATAACGCCTTAGACATTGTTCAATAACTTCCATCTTATCCAGCTCAGTGGGATCTTGTCTAATAATTTCATCAACAGCTTGCAAATATTTGTAGTCACAGATGAACTCACAAAGTTTGAACAGCTTTTCTTTGCTTTCTTTCTGTCCATGAAAAGTAAATTTCCTTTTTAATTCTCTAAAGGCATTCCACAAATCTGTTGCACACAAACTCAGTTCTGGTATGTTTGCTAGTTGAGATGCCAGTCTCACGGCTAATGTCAAATTTTTGCTCACTCTCGATAAGAAGATCTGTTCTGTGCTTTTGAGTATTATCAATTCCACTGTCAGATTCAATCATTTCAGCTTGTTTTTCACAACAGACTCCATAAAGATTGTATGCATTAACAAGGTACACTGGGAAATTTATTGTTGTCCCTTTAGGGCCTGAGCGCTCTGAAATAATTGTCTTACACATTTGTTTTGATTCATCATAGCGTTCTGTCTGAGCTAAAATGTAGGCCAGATCATAAACCGCCGGTCTATTCTGATAGTGGCTTACTTCAGCTGCTCTTTTAAATTGAGCTATGGCTTTTTCTACAAAAGGGTTATCTTTGCTAAAACGCATTAAGAAAGTATCTGGTACCCTCGTAATATATTTGAGATGACTGCCTAAACTGTGTGGACTGTTATCTGGTGGTGGAGATGGCAACATTTTGAATCCCTCATCAATTTCAGCTTCTCTGTTGTATTGGACATTTCCTTGAGGAATATTCAGTTTCTGATTTTGTATATTCAGATTTAGGTCTTGTTTTATCATTAAAGTATTGTGGTTTTTGGTTGTAACCATCTGCATATACTGTACATCTAGTTGCAGGAAAATACCGGCCATTCTTATGTGGCCAGTCTTGTCTACCACAGCGCCCATTAGTTGCACCTTTTGTGAAATTTTGGTGCATTTTTCGACTTTGGCTTTTTTTCTTCTGGAAGATTACAGCCATTTTTCTGTAAGTCAAACCAAGTTGATGATGTGCTCTGTTTGAAGATTTGATGTCAATGGCTTTTAACAAAAGCTTCTCAGATTTTTCCAAGTCTTCATCTGCATCACTATATCGATATAACTGTCCGGCCATTTTTAAGACCTTTTCAGTAGGATTATCACCACTAATAATAATGGCTTCTTCACATAATTCTCTCCATGTTTTTCCCTGAACAATCTGAAACCATTCTTCTCTGCTTAGAATATTTTGCTCATCTGTGTCATCTTTCCCTTTGTTTGTGTCATCATTGTATTTGCAGTAAGCCAGCTCAATGAATGCTGCAGCCCTTATTGCTTTGTTTTTTGATGAAGAACCAAGCTTAAAAAGATCTGTGGCTGCTTTCAGTGCACAGTCATGGCGGTTGATATTTATTGGGTCAGCTGTGTAGATATTGAAATGAGTGCAGCGTCTGTACACCATAGCCAGCATGAACTGGAGCCTTTCATCCTTTTTATGAACTGACAACGAAAACTCCAAAAGGGAGATTGCGCAACGGAGATTTTGAGCACCGCCAAATTTACGGAATGCATATCCAAGTTCAATTACAGCTTCTATTTTGAGATGAAAAAATTGTCTATCTGATTTCAGTTTTCTCAGATCCCCTATAATTTCACATGCTTTACCAAAACGACCTGTCCTGTGGAACAAGAAAGCAGCATTTGCCAGTGTTACTATATTGTTCATACCATGCTTGTCTTGAATCTCTACATTCAACCGCAAAGCGTCTTTTAATAAACCCAGTTCTGTAAACACAAAGGTCAGAAGGTTTTCTTTCCAGACTGCATTATCAAATTCACTATCCTCATTGTCATATTTAAGATCTTCCTCTAGAGCTTCCCACTTATTTTTTGACAAGTCTGGTGCAAAAATATTTATTCCAGTGTATCTCACATTGCCCAAATCAAATTTACAGTTTGTTATGTTAAATAAACATGGAAATTCTTTCATATCTTCAAAAAACTTCTTTTCAGTGTTGTCTTCATAATCATTTACAATGTCAAGTATAGATGATGAAAAGCTAGCCATTTTGTCATATTACCTGGAAAGACAAAATAAGTTTTGACAGAATTAGTACAGATAGTAAATGACTAGACTATTACATTCAAATTTGCATCTAGGTGGATTTTCAAATTTTTTACTGAGCTCCTTAGTTGACCCAGCCTTAAATAGGCACCAGGAAAATGTTTCGTAAAGTAAAGGCAGTTGGTCTGAGATGATAACTTCACTGGGTGTTTATACAGTGTCCCAAAAAACAATGTACATTCCCCCCCCCCCCCCCCCCCCTTTTAAAAAAATATCCACTCCTATTATGTGATATTAGAATCTTTTATACATTTTATAAAAGTGTTTTCTTTTCTCCCATAATAGAAAGATTAAATATGGGCATCCTTCAAGACACAATGGATATCTAGTTGATAGTCCATTTCCTCCCATACTTGAACCAACATATCTCTTGTAACGACAGTAAAGGCTTCTGTTGTTTGGTGGGCACCATCTTGAAATGTTGTGCTCATGGGAATGGTGGGTATTTCAATCAAAACTTGGAGTATCTAATAACAATCAGCATAAAAAGAAAAGACAGAAAAGGGTACAATATTTTTAGACTGCATAAAAAATCTGGGCCTTTCTCCATATGCTTAAGGTGCCTACAGTTTGAAACATACAGACCTTGTGGTCATTAATTTAACTTTTATGTTTGTAAAATTAGCAGTCAGTTAGCATTACATCACGCATCTATTTGATTGTGTAGATATGTTGTATTTATTGGATGTTTTTGTGGATCTCTTGTAATCGCTGGATGGTTTTTGAATATATTTCATATTTGGTAAAATATTAAATATTTAGGCCAAATCAAGAGCCACGTCAGATTAGAAAGCAAAATAGCAGAAGTCATGGTGTCAGGAAAGAGGGGCAGAGGCCAAGCAGTAGCAAGATGCGCAGGATATAAGTGGCACCTTGTGTAGAAAAGTGCACAAAGCAGAAGATCTGGTGAGAGATCAAGTTTCTATCAGGCTGGCTGTGATAAGAGGAATGTTCTGCAAAGTTTGTGCTAAAGGATGATGATGATGATGGTGAATTATTATGTTTCCCACGTGGGCTCCGGGGGCCCTGTTATAGGGAAAACAAGAATAGATCCACTGTCTACCCAAAAGCATGTCGTAAGAGTCGATTAATTTGGAGCTTCCTTCAAAGTCAGAGTGCATCCGGTTGAGAGGCAAAAAACCAACAGTCAGCACACAAATGAGTCAGATCTGTCAAACGGATGCACATGCAACACTCAGGTTCTGAAACAGGACTGCAGTACAGGAGTGGATGAACAACCAGAACTTTCCGCCTGAGTTTACAACCGATGAACGTGAAGAAGAAGAATTATTCTGTACATATTTTGTACTTGGTAAACTATTTTTATGCAGATTTTATATCTGGTAAGTTATTTTGTATAGATTTGGTGTGCGTTGATTTAAAACAAAATTTAGCACATGTAATATCTCATACCTGGTACGTTAATAAAAATAAAAGAATTGTTGGCGTCTAAAGCATATGTGGTGTGAACATGGATTGTAATTCTGCGTTACTTGGCTCGATTCCACCAAAGGTGATTTGGCAGCAGTTCCTTTTGTGTAGATTTCCTTAACTGTATCAAGAGTCAGTAGCTAAGTCCCAACTGCAAACTACTGAATGTAAAATAATAACTATTACCAGGGCTTTTTTGTGTAGAAAGACAGGTACTGTTACCACAGAATATCTAGAAAAAGGTGCCGGTACTCACCACAAAGTGTCAATGACAGTAGCGCCGAAAAACAGTGATGCTTAAAAAAAGAAAGGTGTCCTTACTGCATACATTTGGCAGTCGCCATGGTGTGGTGGCCAGACACTCATCTGCGGATCCAAAGTGGGTGCAGATCCTGAGAGAGCTGAACTTTTTTTTTGTCAACAATGACTTGGCTTCCCGGTTGACCCAACCTTAAATGGGCACCAGGTAAAGTCTTGGGAAGTAAAGGCAGTCGGTATGATGTTGACTACGTTACCAACCAAGTGCTGATTGGTCTATAAAATATAGGTCTAGCACAGTATGCCAGATAAACCTGACGGCGTGGAAATGGGTCTTTTATTGCATGCCACCAGGAAATGAAAGCCCTGGCCATTACTGTTATTTTATTATTATTTTTATTATTATTACTATTATTGCTGCATGAAAGAATGAACAAACTTTATTTTCAAAGGGGTACGAATTAGGCAAGCAGGCCCTTCTAAACACTCATCATTCAGAGTCCCATTGCTTGTTATCAAGAAAGCATGTTATGTTTATTTTAAATAATATACATTATGGAATAATGCATACACATATCATCTATACATAATGATAGCACGCTATGCATGCTTAAGGCAAGCCGTGGCTTAAGCCCCTTGAGCTCTCAGAGCCCCCCTCCCCCTTTTACCCCACCCTGAAGGTTTTCTTTGTGTGGGTGCTCCTGGGTTTGCCACACCACATCTAGTGCCAAATGTCTATAAAATGTGGGTCGAGCACCACATGCCTGATGTGGCAATCAGGCACACTGACACAGAGAAAACATTTAACCTGGGGGAGGGGGACCTTATTGTAGTAGGGTGGAAGCGACGAAGACTACAGGACAACAGATTAAAGGTCTTTGAGAGGTTTATCCTGGTTTGAAAATGCTAACCGGCCTTTTGAGAAACATTGGCAGTTAATAAAGTATACGAAAGATGGGTAAAAATCTGGCTCGCTGGGTATAAAAGATTTTGTCTAGTCTCGCAGCGATCTATTCGACTTCCGGACCAACCTGTGGAAGCCTATCCTAAGAAGACTGATGCTTTGCACAATGGGCTGGTCTATGGGCATGGCGACCACAGGTAACGTTCGTGGTCGGACTGATGGCAGTCAAGGGTACGTTTAGTGGTTAGTTGGTTAAAATAGATTTTCATTGGTATTCTAGACAAGGAATAGTTAAATGGTAAATTGCTGTATGTTTGAGGTTTTGTTTCAGCACGTGGTCGTTTATGTCGTTACTTTTTGGCCATGCTGATGTGAAGTTCAATAAAATTATGTTCAACGTTGTATTCATAGTTACAGTTGTTTCCTTCAGCTTAAGGACTAGTAGTTAGCGTGCTTAGTAGTTTTTTAGTTTAGTTTATTATTACCTGACTTATTAGACTCTACACAGAAGATCTAATGCCTGGACTAGAATATTATTGTTTCTAGCCCCCACCTGAACGAATCTATCTATTTCCTATTTTCTTTCCTCATTTTTTAATAGTAGTACTATGGGGCTTTCTGGCCCTGTTACAAATGGCGTCGTCTGGCAAGGATTTTGGTGGCCATTAGATAATTTGTGTCTAGCCTAGTTAGTTCAAAGTAATAATAGTAGTTTATAGTTTAGATTGATTTTTAAATGGCGCCCAACTTGTGGGGCTTCTATATTGCAGTCTTTTGTTGATATTTGTTTAGTTAGATGTGACAGGATTTAATTCACACAGGAGTTCTAGTTTGTGCAGGTAATAGTAGTGATTTTTAAATTTTAAATTCGGTTTTTATGGCGCTCACGTGCTCTTTTATTTCAGACTTTAAATATGTTAGCCCACGTGTGTGGTTTCGTTATCGAAGACTTGGGTTGTTCATAGTTAGGTTTTATATCATCTTGTTCACGGATGAGTA